AGTTGGGATATCCATAAGCAGTCCAACTTAGGAATGGGAAACAGCCACTGACAGATCTAAAATAGAACCAGGAGCAGTCTGAAGAAACCAGAAAGACCAATACCCATATCTGAACTAGAACCAGGAGCAGTCTGAAGAAGCCAGAAAGACCAATGCCCATATCTGAACTTGTAGAGGTGAAGTTCCAAACAGGACAGGGAAACTGCTAAAGGCCTAAGGATGACAAAAGGCCCATCCTTATTCTCAACAGTAGGCATCAGGTAAAACAAAAGACTCCAAGAAGGAGTAGAGATAGTTAGGACAGCCATCCAAACTCATAGGAGATATTCAAGATAAGAGAACTACTGTATATAGCATAATACCCCAACGTATTTGGTCATAAGAAGTTGAATACAACCCCAATGGAACCACCTTATGCCTGAGAGACTGACAAACAATTGAAAAAAAAAAGGGTGCAAGAATAACACTGCACCAAATAGACAGGAGCAGGAAAACAACCACCATAATGGAACAGCAACATCAGAAAACAGGACGTGCAAAGCTATCCACAAGGACACCTGGTAGGGAAAACCCCCAGCAGGGTCTATCTACCTGGTCTGGTGGGGGGAAATGTAGTATGTCTGCATTTTTCTGCACTGCACATCACACCCGTGTTGTGGGGTCACTGGGGAGCATAGAAAACAATTGTTTTCTATTTGCCCTAGTGGTGACTGGTGTTGATCAGATGATGAAAAAAGCCAGCCACCGCTAATTATGTGAACGAGTCCTAACTGCCAACACAGAATTGAGGGCCCAACCAGGTAACCAGGTAACTCAAACTGGGATCTTAGGAGGGATTTTACTTCCTATCAAAGTCCCCAAAGGTAGGGTTTACCTTTGACACATGCAGTGGCATCTCCGTTAACACGGATCACTGGAGCATCCAAATTGGGCATGGACCACCATGTTCTTTGACAGAAATTAAACAAGATATCCACGGGTAGAGTTTCACACAAACATTCGTACCAAAAATTCCGTCAGATCTTTTGATATTATTCACATTTATTTTGATTTTCTATTTTATTTAACATTTGATTTTGTGAAAACCACATCACTGTTAGAATTTTGTTTGATCGAAAACATTTTTCTTACATGCTCCTTCGAATAGTAACCCATTACGTCTTTCCTGAAAAAGGCCTTTTTGTATAACTCTAAAATGTTGTGTAAGTTGTGCTGGTCTACAAGTTAAATTGTGAGGTACAGATTGTACAAGACTTTAATATATTTTTTTTAAAGGTGTCAATGTTGTCTTTAAATTAGACACCAAGGAGTTGCTACATGATGGGATATACCAAGATGGATCATTACTAGTAAATGGGTATTACGCCTCACTAGTAAAAAGATATTAGCACTTTTGAATATTTATATCTGCCAATACAAAGACCGCTTGTATCCTGACATTTGAAAAGATTGGACATAGAAGAAAGTGCAATCCAGTATATCAGTGAATGTTTTACACATTCCTTACATGCGTGTATGTTTAGACAGAGGTTTAATATGCAGCTGCATATTGGTAATAGGTCTATTTTATTGTGCCAAACTATCCTATTCAAATTACTACAACAACAACATAATCAGCTTCAAATTTCACAAAGTAGATTTAAATTCCTTGAGTAAAGTTTCATATCAAATTTCTATTCTTCATTAAACCTCCTAATTAGTGTAATTTACATCCTTACAATACAATCAAATTCTGCTTAACTGTGACTGGAATATGGTGCTGTAATAAATATTTCAATCTTGCTTGAATATGAGTGTTGTACAGTTAATACATAGACAAAAAAACAAATAAAACATGCATTTAATTTATTCTTTAGTAAACCAGCTTAGAGTCTTAATAACAAAAGACAAAGCAACTCAGTGTATTAATTTTAATGCAAAATAGTTCTTACATTTGGAGGATGCTTCTGCTGAACACATACAATATATATAATGCATTATTGGAAAATAAAACAAAATTATACAGCAATTTGTCTTATATTATTTTACAGTGCAAGAACTGAAGGCCATTGACTGGATTGTTCATATATATATCTATATATGTATATCTATATATAAAAAATAATAACTGCTTTACAGATCTATTCTATACTTTGGAAAGATATATGTATATATTTATAGGTGCTGTACATATTTAGACATTTACAACCAGTAAATCTATTCTTGATATTTCAAGGCAACTTTCCATAAAGAATCGGAAACACATTTCCTTTGAGAAAGATTTACTTTTGGAAAAGTATCACAGTATATGAAGAGAATAGATCAAATCACAGTAATGAGCTGCATGCATTGAATACAATTTAACCCCTTTGTTGCTAGAAGATCCAATGCATTATTTTCTCCACTCCCTGGCAATGAAATAGTTAAACAAGCAGAACCACATTCACCATAACAAAACAGAAGAACAGAGGTCTGTAGCACTAAATTGGTACAAAATAACATTCCCAGGGCTTTAAGCTGTTTGAGATCTGTAACGCTATCTTTCAGTGTCAAAACAAAATAAAAAGATACACACCGATTAACCCTGTTTCAAACATGAGCATTTTGTGTAGTGGGGAGGACAGTGTTCTAGCAAGTTCATTGTGATGGTAAAGTGTGTAATTACCTGTTGAACATTCTGGTAGTTTCCCACAGTGTGCAGGAACATTATTATTTATTTCATAACAATATGCATCTATGAGAGAAGCCTCCACCACAATGTCCTCAGGTTTCTTTTAATAGAATTGTGGGCTGTTCTGCTTATATCCAACAACCAATCATAGCTCTCACACACAGCATTTTTTTAAAATCTAAAAAGGGACTTAAATAGCATGTACAATGTACAAATGGACCTGCACTATGGTGGTAGTGATACAACCAGCTGCTGTGTTCAATTTGTATGGAATACACACAAATTAGCTCAATGAAATCCAAATTACACTGCGCTCAAGTGAATGATCTATATAAAATGTGACACAAATCTAACAAGTTTTGTCTTTGATGTAGGTTTCTCAGAAACCACTACATTCAAATGTGGGATATAATAAAGTGATAAATATCTGCAAGAAAATAAAATCTCAGTAAAAGGTATAAACCCGTGATGTACACAAGTTGCATGTGTATATACATTAAAAACAACAGAGTATAAAGTATCATAATAAATATCCTTAAAAAAGTGAAAAGTGATAATCAAAAAAATCAATAAGTCCATATGTGAAGCTGTAATGTTCCGTGCGTCTCACTGCTCCACGTGTATTAACAGGAAAAAGGTCCGCACTCAACAGATAGCCTTTGTAAACTCGCTTAGGATATATCCAATTGTTGGGTCTGCCTCTCAACTATCCCTGTGAGAGACATTCAGCAGCACCACCTTCTCTGGCTCTATACAGATATAAAAGCCCCACGACTTCTCCACTTCAGGTCTCTTCATAAAGGAGGTCATAAAGGAGGTCCAGAAAGGGACCCAAAAATAGCTCAAAGGGAATAAATGGGGACATTTATAGTGCAGTATGTCCAATAAAAAACTTTGTCCAGAAACAAATCGCATATAAACACTGCAACGATGTGCTCCTTCTTCTCCGCCGTTTCGACAAAGTCTTATGACGAAACATGTAGACAAGCGGGTGTACGTTGAGATCACTAAACCCCAGAAAGTTTTTGATTGGGTATATTAATTTATATATATTAATGTATTTTATATTAATTTATATACACATGCAACTTGTGTACATCACGGGTTTATACCTTTGCTGAGATTTTATTTTCTTGCAGATATTTATCACTTTATTATATCCCACATTTGAATGTAGTGGTTTCTAAGAAAACTACATCAAAGACAAAACTTGTTAGATTTGTATCACATTTTATATAGATCAATTTCTTGATTGTAATTTGAGTGTAATTTGGATTTCATTGAGCATGTAAGATTTGTTTGATACTTTATAGGTTAAAACTATTTAAGCCTTAAAAAAAATATTTGGGTGAATCAAAACACACACACCAAACTAAAATCAGTTCACATGACATGCAATTTATGATCAGTTCAAGCAATTAAAGAGTTAAGCTAAAGCAACTATTCTACTAATATAGTGGGGCTTAAAGGCAAGACCTGTCTCTGTTGTTCAAACACAAACTACATGTTGCTGTCAGTGCAAGTCAGAAAATGGGAAAAGGCAGGCACCAATTGGCTCTTCTGGGCAATACAGATAGCTCTCACACTAAGCTCTTTGTTATGGAGATGAAGCCTTTTCAATCTCAAGGAAGTAATGATCTTACTAGATCAAAGCAAAGCAGGCTTTTTTTTTTTTAAACAGGGACCAATTCTACAGGCAACCATAACCTCAGAGTGATGAGAATGACTCCAAGTTTAGGTTTTGCTAAATATTTTCCAGAAACCTTCACTCTGAATATGCTACACAATGGGGTGTATTGGAACAGTTCTTGTGGGTGGTACTGGACTACAGTGATCACAGCAAGGATGGGCAGACATATTAGTCTATAGGGTACCTGCCTATATATAGCCAGTCTAGCTTATTCTCAGCCAGCTAAATTGTATATGAATTATGATACCTTGAACAATGGCAACTATGATCTTTTGCAGGACACAAAGTCCTGGCAAGGGGAAATATTGCCTATGGAATCACAATAATGTAAACATAATAGGATAGACGTTGTGAAGTGACTTGTTGAATATTGATGTGCAGGTAAGTTCAACATTTTCAGACAATTAGCTGCAATGACGATACAAAATGGAATGTCGGATATGTTCCTTGGTTGCAAACATATTAATGTATTTGTTCGAGAAATACTAGCTGACAAAGTTACCAGTTGTAAGTAGAAGCAATTCACAACTGTCAATTCTTCTATTGCTTGTTGCCAGCCTGTGCTAATTACTTTGTAATGTACCTTTATAGAAGCATCCATCAATAGTCAAAGGATGCCGATTGGCGTTTGCATTGTGTTCTGAACAGAGTGCTGCTTTCGCAAATTATATAAGTTGTTTCAAATACTTACAATGTTTCCTTCACCCAAGCCACACTTTTCTTCCATTGACCTGAAAAAGCTTTTTCCTCTCATGCAACTATAATCAAGCTATTCAAAAACATTATTTCAAAAGCCCATGAAATGCATGCTGCTCAGTTTACTGCATATATTGTTTTGTTTGTTCTTTTGTATTCAGTCATGTGTATCATGATAAAACTCATTTAGGAAAGAAGCAGACAGGAGCAAAAGTTATTCTTCTGCACTTTCTGGACAAGTGCGTATATAGTTATTACAATAAGCTCTTATTAAAAGTAGAAAACTTGGTGGCTGGGGTAACTGAACCCCAATTTGTTCTTTATAAAAAAAAGCTTCCTGTTCTGTATATTATGTGTATTTGGAGGCTATTTTTTACACAGGAGTAAAAGGTCAGTGGTATGTTTTACATGGCACTATGCCCCGTATAGTTCTTTCTTTCTTTGACCATCAATAACTTGTATTTTCTGTTACAGTTTTGTACACATGCAACATGCTAGTCAAATATTTCAGCCAGGCTTTTTTGGCTATGTAAAAGACAAGTTTACATTTTACACAGACAAAGGAAATAAACTGAACAGGAAGATAAAATTGGCACAAGTAGTGGAGCCATGATCACATGATCAGGATCTGTACAACACTGTCCCAACTTATTTTGTAGCAGCAAAGTCCAAAAAGTGTGACAGTACACCTTCATAGACTAACATGGAGCTCAAGCTTGTGGAAGACCATTCCCTGCAAGCAAAATCCAAAATATCCTTCATGCAGGTTAAGGTTTAAGAAGTCTAAATACATACGCTGAACTCAGCTGGCAGCATGTGGAGTAGTGGTCTATATATTCAATTCGTCAGCATCAGAAACTTTATTTGAATTGGGAACTTTCCATGGTCCTGGAGTTATCAGTGATTTCTTTCCTGTTGTCCGTGATGCTCCTTCATCTTTGGTTTTCTCTGTAGCTTCAGCTGTAGGATTCTTGACTTGTGGCTCATGATGAGTAGCAGATGGTTCACTCTGGGAGTCCTTTTCTGCTCGTTTGGCTTTAAGGATCAGATCTTTTTTTATTCGTTCATTTTCACGTTTTTTCTGCTCATACTCAGTGTAATTTCTTTGAGATTTTTCCTCCATTTGTTTACTTTTCTGTTCTGGGGTTTTCTTGTTGTTAACATCATGTAGACTGTCTTCTCGTCTTGACTTTTCATGTCTCTCATCCAGTTTTTTATCATTTTTTGACTCTCGGACATCTCCTTTGGATTTCTCATCCCTATCTTCTCTTTTGAACCCATGGTGTTTCCTGATTTTGTCCTCCCTCTCTTCTGACTTTAGCTTCTCCTCCCGTACCTCCCCCCTGTGTTTGTCCTCTCCATTATGTTTCTCCTGCCTTCCTTCTCTTCTGGGTTGCGCTTCTCTATCTTGCCTCTTGGTTTTGTTATCCCTCCAGTACTTAACCTCTCTTTCTTCTCTCTTGACTTTCTCTTCCCGCTCTTCTTTCTTGTTTCGGTCATCTCGCATCTGCTTATCCTCCCTGTCTCCTTTTCTGTGCTTGTCATCTTTCTCCTCCCTTCTAAGTATATCCTCCCTTCTGAGTTTTTCCTCTCTGTCCTCTTTCCTGTGTTTTCCCTCTCTTTCTTGCCTTCGGGATATCTCCTCACTCCTAGCCTTATCTTCCCTCTCCTCTCTCCTAAGTTTGTCTTCCCTTGTGTCCTTCTTTGATTCCTCAAGCTTTTCATTTACCTTACTCTTTTCTTTTTTATCTTCTCTTACTGACCTTTTGTCCTTTTTATCCATCAGTCGATCTGCATTAACTGCATTTTGCTGTTTTTTTGATGCATCTTCAGCTTCACCACTTTGTTTCTCTTTTTCCTCTTTTCTGTAAGACTTTTTTGGACTGGCAGATCTTCCTCTGTGTCTGTGTCCCCTTTTGTCTTTATCTTTGGCAGCATAATTTTCAGTGTCCGTTTTATGATATGATTTTCTGGGGCTTAAAGATCTTTCTCGGATTTCTTTGTGTATACGTTTTGAATCAGTCTGTCGGGAACTCTGGTGTCTTTCAGATATATTGCTCTCACTCTTCTTGGGACTTGCTGATCGCCCTCTCTCTCTTTTTGCACCACTTTCTTTCCCAGATTCAAGTGGTTTATTTTTGGAAGAGTTTTTGGGGCTCTCAGACCTTTCTCTTTGCTTGCCTTTGTGTTGAACTGAAGACGCCAGCGGTTCTAGCTTATATTCCTTCTTATTGATGTTACCCATAGGCAAAACTGTGATATCTTTATTTTGCTGTATATCATTTGCAAAATCAATTTTTTCAGTCTCACGGACTTCCAAAATGTCTTCATCAGGTGCCAGTGAATGAAAAACCTCAGAATTTGGATGCACGTATGAGGTTGATAAAAAGGCTGAATTGTCATCATATATTACATTTTCAAATAATGGATGAGTACTGTCCGGATCATCTAAATAAACAATCAAGGAAAACAAATAAGCATTATAAAAAAATTAAATATTTAATAGTGGAAATTCTTCACTTGAAATTTAGCAACTGATCTCCCATGCAGGAAAATTACAGAAAATCTTGTAATACAACATATATCCTCATAGTTGATGCAACATGCATTTATAAAACAACTAATCCCATATAAGATCATACAATGTGATATCTATAAAATGTGGGCAGTGACCTGCATTCTCACATCATCTTTCACACAGTGTATTCTACAGCATGTGCAAAAGTCTATGCCAAGTAGTCACACAGTGGACAAATGAAAATGCAATTAATGATACATGGATACACGGCATGCAACATTGAAGAGGCAGTCTAGGATAAACCACCTAAATACCCCAACAAGTAACAACTGAGTGGAGCAGTTTTGATTGCAATGCTTTCACAGACAAGAAGCCAGGATGCCAGACTGGATCATACTGGCCAGACAATTTTATGGAAGCATGAACTTCAGCCCGCATAATAACTGCATGTTAAGTAGCCAGTGGGCCGAGGGGTTAGCTGTCAGCAGTTGCTGGGATGCAATTTTAATCAATTTTGGATAACCCCTTAAGTGATTTCCTTTTTTGTGTGTGCAGTACATACATGTGTACACGTTTTAGTAATGTGTTTTATGGAGGCTGTTTATTTGTTCGATCTAAGGTGAGTAAATTTAAAGTGGTTTTAATTCCATAACCAGTGAAGTCTGTGCAAACTTGAATGCATGTGATTTCAGCATATCTACAATATAGGTTGTCAGAAGGGCAATCAATATATTTAGAATTACATACATGCAGTAGGGTGCATTCATGCATATAACCACAGGTAATAGACTTCATAGATTTTGACAACTATTTGGCATGAAGGCAATCGTCTTCTAATGACTAGAGGCAGACATTATATTCTTTTTTTTCTTTTAAGTCTCTTTTGTATGCTCCAAGGCTAGCAGCCCCTGACCTGCCACTTAAATGTGATTGGTTAGGCCTTGCATGCACACGCATATTAATGAGCATAAGCAGCTATAGCAGACAAAACATAGTGGAGATAGAGGAATATGGGAAAAAGCTGAATCAAGAGACATGCACATTTACCAAATCTTTAAGGGAAAGACCAAGAAAAGCACGAGAAAGCCTTATTGCTGATCAGATTTCATGTAGGAGCAGAGGCTGGAATGAGCCAAACCTGAGGAGAAGGAAAACAAGCCTGGAACAGAATTCCAACATCACCAAAGCATAGCTAGTTCACACTGCGCGTTCATTAGCAATATGTGGCAGGAATGCTTCCACACAGGTTAGACCACTGTATATGCAAAATCTGCCAAGAGTCACACACAATCATCTCTGCTGCTGCTATGGTATTTTGAAGCTGCCAATTAGACCAAAACAAGAGACAAGATATGTAGAATGTTAGCATGATTACTAATAACATACTGCTTCCTAATTCTCTTGTGTGTATATATCTATATAGAGATAGAGATATATACATATACATACATACAGTTGTGTGAAAAAGTGTTGGCCCCCCCTTCCTGATTTTTCATTGTTTTGCACGTTTGTCACACTTTAATGTTTCAGATCAAACACATTTAAATATTAGTCAAAGATAACATAAGTCAACAAAACATGCAGTTTTTAAAAGGAAGGTTTTTACCGTTAAAACATAACTTAACTCTGGTTCATCACACCTGAGTTCAATTTATCTGGCCACACCTGTGTGCAATCAAGAAATCACTTAAAGGAGAACTATGGGGTTCTATCTTTTCTTTATTATTGCATTCCTTAGGCTAAATAAGTAAATTGTGTAATTTACTCCTATTAGCCAAAATGCACCCTAAGTCTGTAAACCCTTCTTTAAGATGGTGGGCGGGCCGCAATGAGGAGAGATCACGACAATGCTGACGAGATCCTCCCCACTGACCTTCGTCACTGTGACTGACAGTGATTCTTGAGAGCTGAAGAGAGAGCCCGCTTTCCCCTCTCTCATCAGCGATCCCCAGTGATTTAGCATGTCAGTGTCACACAGGGCAGGGGGAGAGAGAGAGAGAGAGAGGGGGGGGGGGGGGGGGGTTCATTTATCACATATGGGCAAGTCCATATATGGTGAATGATGTCACTGGGGATCCCTGCAGACTGGCAAGCATCCGATCAGCAGGGATCTCCAGTGACATCATAACTATATATGGACTTGCCCATATGTGATAAATGATGGAGAGAGAGAGAGAGAGAGAGTCTCTCTCTCTTTCTTCCTGCCCTGTGTGACACGGACATGCTAAAATCACTGGGGATCGCTGATGAGAGGGGAAAGAGGGCTCTCTTCAGCATTTACTACAAATGGGCAAGTCCATATATGGTGAATGATGTCACTGGGGAGGGAGGGGATCAATGCACTGCACACTACACGTGAAGTAGGCGGGGCAGATGGAGAGGAGGAGGGAGGGGATCAAGGGCTACACAGCAGCGTGTCTGGAAGGCTGGCACAGAGGACGGGGACGTGCAGGTAAGGAGAGAGCTGTGTGCACAGAGCTGCTGCGCATGTCCATATATTCGTGGACGCGCAGCAGCTCTCAAGAATCACTGTCAGTCACAGTGACGAAGATCAGTGGGGAGGATCCCGGCAGCATTGTCGGGATCTCTCCTCATTGCGGTGCTTAGCCCCGCCCACCATCTTAAAGAAGGGTTTACAGGCTTAGGGTGCATTTTAGCTAATGGGAGTAAATTACACAATGTACTTATTTAGCCTAAGGAATGCAATAATAAAGAAAGGATAGAACCCCATAGTTCTCCTTTAACCTCTTGCCGACCGCCCGTAGTAAAAATAAGAAAGTAATTGAGATCCATCAGTCTGGAAAAGGTTATAAAAAAAAAAAACTTCTAAAGCTTTGGGATTCCAGCGATACACAGTGAGAGCCATTATTCCCAAAGGGCGAACAGTGGTGAACGTTCCCAGGAGTGGGTGGCCAACCAAAATTACCCCAAGAGCGCAGCAACGACTCATCCAAGAGCGCAGCAACGACTCATCCAAGAGGTCACAAAAGACCCCACAACAACATCCAAAGAACTGCAGGCCTCACTTGCCTCAGTTCAGGTCAGTGTTCATGACTCCACCATAAGAAAAAGGCTGGGCAAAAATGGCCTGCATGGCAGAGTTCCAAGACAAAAAACCGCTGCTGAGCAAAAAGAACATAAAAGCTCGTCTACATTATGCCAGAAAACATCTTGATGATCCCAAAGACTTTTGGGAAAATACTCTGTGGACTGACAAGACAAAAGTTGAACTTTTTGGAAGGTGCATGTCCCTTTACATATTGCGTAAGAGTAAAACCGCATTTCAGAAAAAGAACATCATACCAACAGTAAAATATGGTGGTGGTAGTGTGATGGTCTGGGGCTGTCTTGCTGCTTCAGGACCTGGAAGACTTGCTGTGATACATGGAGCCATGAATTCTGCTGTCTACCATAAAATCCTGAAGGATAATGTGCGGCCATCTGTTCGTGACCTCAAGCTGAAGCGAACTTGGATTCTGCAGCAGGACAATGATCCAAAACACACCAGCAAGTCCACCTCTGAATGGCTGAAAAAAAACAAAATGAAGACTTTGGAGTGGCCTAGTCAAAGTCCTGACCTGAATCCTTTTGAGATGCTGTGGCATGACCATAAAAAGGCGGTTCATGCTCAAAAATCTTCCAATGTGCCTGAATTACAACAATTCTGCAAAGATGAGTGGACCAAAATTCCTGCACAGCGCTGTAATAGATTCATTGCAAGTTATTCCTTGCTGCTAAGGGTGGCCCAACCAGTTATTAGCTTTAGGGGGCAAACACTTTTTCACAGGGCCATGTGGGTTTGAAATTTGGTTTCCCTTAATAAAAACCTTCCTTTAAAAACTGCATGTTGTGTTTTTCTTGTGTTATCTTTGACTAATATTTACATTTGTTTGATGATCTGAAACATTTAAGTGTGACAAACGTGCAAAACAATGAAAAATCAGGAAGGGGACCAACACTTTTTCACACAACTGTATATATACATACATACATATACACAATATATTGCCAAAAGTATTGGGACACCCCTCCAAATCATTGGATTCAGGTGTTTCAATCACCTCCATGGCCACAGGTGTATAACATCAAGCACCTAGGCATGCAGACTGCTTCTACAAACATTTGTGAAAGAATGGGTCGCTCTCAGGAGCTCAGTGAATTCAAGCATGGTACCTTGATAGGTTGCCACCTGTGCAATGAGTCCATCTGTGAAATGTCCTTGCTACTAAATATTCCACGATCAACTGTTAGGCAGGGCACACACCTTCCTTTAGTGGTATTATAACAAAGTGGGAGCAACTGGGAACAACAGCAACTCGGCCACGTAAAATGACAGAGCGGGTTCAGCGCATGCTGAAGCGCACAGAAATCGCCAACTGTCTGCAGAGTCAATAGCTACAGACCTCCAAACTTTGTGTGGCCTTCAGATTGGCACAACAACGAGTAGAGAGCTTCATGGAATGGGTTTTTATGGCCGAACAGCTGCATCCAAGCCTTATATCACCAAGTGCAATGCAAAATGTTGCATGCAGTGGTGTAAAGGTCACCGTCACTGGACTCTAGAGAAGTGGAGACGTGTTCTCTGGAGTGACGAATAATGCTTCCCTATCTGGCAATCTGATGGATGTGTCTGGGTTTTGCGGTTGCCAGGAAAACTGGACTTGCCTGGCTGCATTGTGCCAAGTGTAAAGTTTGGTGGAGGGGGAATTATGGTGTGGGGTGGTTTTTCAGGGTTTGGGCTTGGCCCCTTAGTTCAAGTGAAGGGAACGCTTAAGGCATCAGCATACCAAGACATTCTGGACAACTTTGTGGGAACAGTTTGGGGATGGCATGAAAGACATGGATGAGTGAGTTTGGGGTGGAGGAACTTGACTAGCCTGCACAGAGTCCTGACCTCAACCCGATAAAACACCTTTGGGTTGAATTAGAGTGGAGACTGCGAGCCAGGCCTTCTCATCCAACATCAGTACTTGACCTCACAAATGCGGTTCTGGAAGAATGGTCAAACATTCGCATAGATACACTCCTAAACCTTGAGGATAGCCTTCACAGAAGAGTTGAAGCTGTTAAAGCGGCAAAGGGTGGGCCAACTCAATATTGAACCCTACGGACTAAGACTGGGGTGCCATCAAAGTTCATGTGCGTGTAAAGGCAGGTGTCCCAATACTTTTGGCAATATTGCAACTAATAATTATTTTCAGGATCAATTAGTTGGCCGATTATTTTTTTTATTAATCGGATGAAAAAAATTAAACAAGTACCATCCTTAATTTACAATAAAAAACACAAATGCAGTGCAACAAAGTTTACTTCAGAATACACATTTTTTTGCAATTGCACTGGACTAGACCGCACAGCCTTGCAGTACCATGCGTTCCAGTGCGGGCGATCACACTGTGGGTGGGAGGCTCATTTGGGGTGCCAGTGAAATGAATGGCACCTCCCACAGCAGTATTTGTCAGGCCAAAGCTGAAAATGACTTTTTTCCCACCTTATATATATATATATATTTTTTTTTTAAAATAACTATTTTAA